GGTACTGTTTTCAAAGGGATAGAGGAAACCTGGGATGGTTTTGATGGGAGTTATGGTTTACATGGATATACACATAGGTAAAAAGTAATCAAGCAGTACCATAAGATTTTGCATTTTACTGTTTATAAGTTAATCCTCAATAAAAACATTAAAAGTAATCATTCAAATAATAGAAATTGGAGGCATAACTTCCAAATTAGTAGAAAATGGAAGGAATAATGACAAACCAATTAATATAAAAGGCAAGAAAGATGTAAAAAAAGAGAGGCAAAAAATGCATGGTTAACTTGGAAGAGGATCTTTGTAGGAGATCCTGGATAGACAGGGAGAACAATGTGGAACAAAACTCAAAATCACTTGGGGGGGAAAAAAAAGTGGGAAACAGGTTTGTTGGCCCGAGGGAGCCTGGTGGAACCACTGAGACTATGGCCCCTAGCTGCCCTTCAAGTCTGGAATTGAACGCACACCTGTGGCTTCCAGCCAAACAATAGACAGGCATATCAGTTGAGCATGTACCTGAGGTAGATAACTCCTTGGAGAGAGTAAGCATGAGAGAAAGAAGGGCTGCCCAGGCACAGGGAGACAGCTCCAGGGGTAGGAGTGCATGGAGAGATGGACACAGGGAAGAGGTAACTATCCACAGGAAGTGGGAGGAGAGATGTTGCATTGTGCTAAATTGTGGTCAATGTCATGAGACAAATGTATGTGAACTGCTTATGGAAAGTGTATTTGCGCTGTAAATTTTCACCCAAATCACAAAAAAATAAAAAAAACTAATTAGCGGCCGTGGGATACAGTGAGGGTGCAGTTGTGATGGCAGCCAGGGAGTGTGTTTTTAGGCTTGTGATGTCAAAAGTTTACTGTCAGACAAAAATTTTGCACATCTCCCTTGTACACCTGATGTGAAGTAGCTTTAACCGCTTTTTACCAAACTTCTTTTTACCAATTATATCTATTTGTTATCTTAACTTCTGCTAGCTTCTTGTATTTCCTTCTCATGTTCCCTTGTTGCAGAAGAGGGTTGGCCATTACCATAAGGAATGCAGGAAGAGGTCTCAAAAACACTGCCTGATCCTGTGCCACCTCACAACTGTTGCTATGTTGCTAAGCCCATTGTTGCAGCCAACATGTCAATCCATCTCATTGAGGGTCTTCCTCTTTTTTGTTGACCCTCTACTTTACCAAACATAAAGTAGTCTACAGGGACTGGTCTCTTCTCATAACATGCTAAAGTTTGTGTGATGAAGTCTCACCATTTTGCTTCCAAGGGGCATTATGGCTATACTTTTTGCAAGACAGATTTGTTTGTTCTTCTGCCAGTCCCCGGTACATTGAATATTCTTCACCAAAACCATAATTAAAATGCGTCAATTCTTTAAAAAAAAATGCATGGTTAACAGAAAATACAATAAGCTCACAGAAATAAATCTGAAAAATACAGAGCTATATAAATAACAGACAGAATAGATGTAAGGCAAATGTTATTAAGAATAAAGAGAATATTCAATTACAAAAGGCATTCACCAAGATTACATAGCACTTCAAATTTTTTATATATCTAAAAATACATCCTTAAATTATAGAAGCAAACACTGACATAAAAGCAAAGATAATATAGATAAATCTACATTTACTATGGAAAATTTTAACACAGTCCCCAAAATCAAACCAAACTCACTGCCATCTGACTCACAGCAACACCTTTGGGTTTCTGAGGCAGTAAATCTTTACAGAAGTAGATTGCCCAGTCTTCCTTCCGTGGAGTGGCTGATGGGTTTCAACTGTCACCTTCTAGTAAGCAGTCCTCCAAACCAACACCAGTGATTGATAATTCTGTCAGATTAAAAAAAAAAAAAAAAAGTCATGGCAGACTTGAACATCAGAACGTAAGGACAGAACTCTACCTTCACCATCTAGAGAATACACTTTCTTCTCTAGTACACATGAACATCAAAAAATAACACGTTTTAGGTCACAAAGCAAGTTGTAACCAAAGCCAAAGAAGGGGTATCATACAGAGCATATTTTAAAAATAATAAAAGGTCTGTAGTTTGAAAATTGAAAAACACACTTCTATATAATTCAGTGTCAAAGAACAAATAATGGAAACAAACATTAGGAAGTGAACAGTGAAAGCACCATATATCAAAACTCAGAATATGCTATTAAACCAAGACTTAGAGAGTGATTTTAAACTTAAATATAACAATTGGAAGATACGTATCTTAAAACTCTTAAGGAGCTAAGTGTCCGACCTAAGGAATAATAAAAAAAATAATACTACAAACTGTAAATCCAAAGAATGTACAAAGAAAATAAAGACAATAGTAGCAAATACAATCGAACAAAGAGGAGCAACAAACTCAAAAGTTGGTTCTTTGAAAAAGCAAGTAAGAGTTAAAAAAATAAAAGGCTTCTAGCAACACTAATCACAAAAAGAAGCAAAACAAATCATAGTTATGAATACAAAGTAAATTTTCAGAAGCATACGAAAATTCTGCGAACAACTTCATGCCAATAAATTAGAAATTTTAAACAAAATAGTTAACTTCTTAATAAATACATCCTACCAAAAATGTAAGATAAAATATATCTGTAAAATATATAAATTTAAAACATGTATTTTACAAGAAGAAATAAATATGAATTGAATCAAAACTAAACGACATTGAATCAGTAGCAAAATACACTCAACACATAAGCACCAAGGGGCTTTCAGTCAATCTTTTAAAAAGTAAAATATAATCCCTATTAACCAAAAAAACAAACTCACTGCCATGACGTTGGATCCGATTCATAGCGATCCCTCCTTGGGTTTCTGAAGCAGTATCACTACAGAAGTAGATTGCCCAACCTTCCTTCCTAGAAGTGGCTGGTGGGTTTGAACTGTCAGCTTTCTAGTTAGCAGTCAAGTGCCTTAGGCACTACGCTCATCAATATGTTTAAAAATGAATATATCCCAAATAAGTGGGTTTACTTTAGAAATACAATAATGATTGAATGATAAAATCTATTACCAAAATTCATCACACCAACTGACAAGAAAACATTTAACTTCTACTCATCAAAAACTATTACTTCCTCTCCATTAAAGTCAGAAGCAACACAATACCTGTTCTCACTCCCTCTTTCAATACTATACAGTAATAAACCAATATATCACACACATATCTCTCTATATACATGCACATACACATACAGACTGTATACAATTACTTTAGTTAACAACTCCTTACCACAACAACTGTTGAAATGAATACTTTTGAAAAACAACCCAAAACTACACTAAATTTGGTATTAACAATTTCAAGCAAAGATATGCTCACCGATTTATTCTTCATGATTGTTTCTATTCAGAAAATGTTGCAAGGAACAAATTGGAATGGTGTAACTTGTCTGAATGCACCCCAAAATTTTTACTTCGCTAAGGAAAAGAGAAAGGAAACCAGAGGAAGAGGCGAAGTCTTCAGTTTATTGTACGCAGGTGCTCTTTTGAAGAGTGCTCTCATTTTTTGCCTTTATTTTATCTTAAAGCTCACTTTCAGGCGCTCTGGTGGCTCTGGTAGTGCCTAAGGCATGTGACTGCTAACCAGAAGGCTGGCTGTTCAAACCCACCAGCCACTCCTCAGAAAGAAGGTTGGGCAGTCTACTTCCGTAGTGACACCGCCCAAGGAGGGGTCACTATGAGTCGGATCTGACTCCACGGCAGTGAGTTTCGTTTTTTGGTTTAAAGGTCACTTTCTGTGTTGCACCTTTATTTTTAAAGTCTGGTAGCATAGTGCCTAAGGCACTTGACTGCTAACCCCCAGAAGGACGGAGGTTCAAACCCACCAGCCACTCCTCAGAAGGAAGGTTGGGCAATCTACTTCTGTAGTGATAGCACCTCAGAAACCCAAGGAGGGGTCGCTGTAAGTCGGGTCTGACTGCACGGCACATAACAAGAAGAAGTCTGAATACCACATACCTATGAGGGAGCTCTGGTAGCATAGTGGCTAAGACTTGCCTGCTAACCAGACGGCTGGCGGTTCAAACCCACTAGCCACTCCTCAGAAGGAAGGCTGGGCAATCCTACTTCCGTAGTGATACTGCCTCGGAAACCCAAGGAGGGGTCGCTATGAGTCGGGTTTGACTTGACGGCACATAACAACAACAACAACATGAGCCCTTTGAGCTCTGGTGGTATAGTGCTAAGGCATTTGACTGCTGACCAGAAGGCTGGTGGTTCAAACCCACTAGATGCTCCTCAGAAGGAAGATTGGGTAATCTACTTCCTTAGAAATACGGGTTGGGAAACCCAGGGAGGGGTGGCTATGAGTGGAATCTACTCAATGGCAGCGACTTTGGTTTTCTGGCTTATGGGCCCTTTAAAGTTTGAAATCCTGAAGAAAAAGATATGGAAATAAGAATGTACCTTTTAGTTACTATCTTCCTTCTATCACTCCCGCTATGAAACTTTCTCCTCTCTTTGGCAGGTGCAATGAAACTTAATACATTTTAGATACATGAGGGATTTATTTTCTGACTTTGAAATTTGTGTTATTTCATATTTTTTTCCTATGAAAATTGTTTCAGTAACTTGGATTGGAATGCATCATAATTCTTCCCATTAAGGTTAATGGAAATACTTTATTTCAACTAACAGTGTTTTACTTAGCGGTAGAACTAAGCGAAGGACAAGCTTTTAGCTGAAGTTAAAAGAGTGGAAAGAAAGATTACTAAAGACGTCCACATTCCCAACCAGCTACACAACCCCCCACTCTCCCCACCCCCACCCCCCGCCCGAGATAGCCAACCAATCACAGCCAGTAAGAGCCCCCACCAGGTTGAGGTAACCAAACCAATAAGCCCAAACCGAGCATTCCGCCTGCGCAGAGAGGGCTGCGTCTAATCGGCAACGACGTCCCCACGACCGGTAGGAGCCGCCCTCAGGAGCTAGCTCGGCTGCGTGACGGACTTCACCCTTTTGGCTCCATTCTTGAGTAACCGCCTAACACGCCGACATGGTTGAAGCAGATCGCCCGGGGAAGCTTTTCATTGGCGGGCTCAACCTCGAAACCGACGAGAAAGGCCTCGAGGCCGCGTTTGGCAAGTATGGCCGCATAGTCGAGGTGCTCCTGATGAAAGACCGAGAAACCACCAAGTCGAGGGGCTTCGCGTTCATCACCTTCGAAAGCCCAGCAGACGCCAAAGCCGCCGCAAGAGACATGAACGGCAAGACCCTGGATGGTAAGACCATCAAGGTGGCCCAGGCCACCAAGCCGGCGTTTGAGAGCGGCCGGCGGGGTGCCCCGCCGCCTCCGCCGCC